GTGATTTACGTGAAATTATTCGTAAGCACATATTCTGTTTAGTATTGTTGTACTACATTCGTTTTATATAAGTATAAAATTAACAATAAAATACAAGAATACATATAATGAAAATTTAAGGAATACAATTAGTTTGAGAATCAGAGATATTGATTTACTACGTATCTAGAAAAGTACAACATCAATAAAAAAGAAATGAATAGAAAAATTATTCAAGAGAATTGAGAAATACTATAAGACATAAATACCTAGTCTTAATAATCAACTACAAAAAAAGTAAACCGCTATTTTTACATTGATGAATGTTCTTCATTTATCAACTTATAATAAAATTACAATAAAATCATTTGTCGATACTATGATGTATTCGTCTTCATAATATGACATTGGCATCGATTTGGAACATAAGTTATTAGCCGTCTTTTGTTTCATTAGTTTTCACAATTAATCTGAAAAAAGACGATGTATTTTAATGTAGAAGAATATTTTTATCTCAGTTTTGGAAATGAAATCGAACGAGTTATCATTTATGCGTGTAAGCAAATATTCCATCTTACTCATGAAATGAAAAGTTGAAAAAGAAAAATTTTTTTCCCTGTCTTGAAATCACCACTCATTGAATTACTAAGAAGGATTCATCAGAAAAAAATAGAGAAATAAATCTATAAGAAATAACTTGAACAAATACTCATGAGAAATTATAAAAAGTATGTATACAAATAAAATTGCTCGAATACTCGTACAAGTCATTTGAATACTCACACTGGCAAGTCGTACTCGCTGGATAAGGAATTTCATAAGGGTACAGTGTCGTCTAAACTTCTCAGTCAACATTGTTCTTCTCGTGATTGGAACAATACTTACAGTTTCTTTTTTATCACATGCAGTCAAAAGTCTCGTAACTAAAAACTAATCATTTATTTTCTCTTCGTTGATTATTTTTTATTGAATATATTTTGTTCGATTGGTAAATGCATAGTCTTGTCATTTCATTTTGAATTAGACAACTTACTTGCTGTTTATGAAGAGTACTATTTATTACTTTTCAATTATATTCATTTTTATGGATATAAGAAAACACATAGGTCTCTAAAGAATGATTAAACCTGTTTAGATGTCAAATGAGTTCAGCAAATAAAAATTACTAACATACAGATAACCAAGTAAAGACGAAATAAATCATTAAAACCACCCACACAAATACTTGTTAACATTGAACTATATAGTGTCAATAACGGCGACGAACAGGTGAAGTATAGACTCAAATAAGAACAGATTAATACAACTCATCGTTTTTAACTATCGCTTATTCTCTCTTCACAACACATACACACGAATATATTAAATTCTATATCACAAAGACATGTACGTAGTAGTCTTTCATTTGTTAAATGGACGATCAGGGAAATCGAGATATTACTTACTTTCTGACAGATGGTCAAATTCATTTGACTCTTCGTTATCTATTGACATATGAAAGTGACAATGGATAAAGTTTTAAAAAGCCGTAGACATGAGCACAATGATATTATATTGGAATGAACTGCAACTTTTTGGTATGATTGGCCTGAAAAACTGGCATTTCTGAGTAGCATATTTTATTATACTCTATGCCTGTGTTAAGGGGCCAAAGTTTTTAAGAGAAATATACGCTGTACAGTTTAAATAAAATTAGCTGTACTCATCGAAAAGATCTGAGTCATTCTTCAGCTCTATATGGAGGATAGGCAGTCAGAAAAAGGCACCAATACGCTCGAATTTGCTTTCAAATCATCACTCTACAAATTAAGTATAATAATAGCTTTTTTTTTCAGGAAGTTTTTTCATACAGCCTGCACACTATCTCTACCACACGCAGAGCTAGAATTAAGTTTGTGTCGCTCTACATGAAAACATGCACGTGTCTGTCAAATATTATGAATGTCAGACGAAGAAATAGAGAAGAAATGAAATTTAAATCAGTTATATATTTTGATAGAGTGTCGAATACTGTACAAAATAGACTAATTACATCCTTTTCTCCTTGCTTTTTCATAGTCGAAAAATTTTATTTTCTTTGTACATGTCGGCAAAAAAAACGCTTTTTTTTGCCGATGTATCTCTCATAACTCAGCGACAGTATGAGTTAAAGAACTGAAATTTTGTGCAGCAGTGATGTGTTCGAAGAGAAATAAAATATTTAAAAAAAAAATGTCCAAATCATTGAAGAGAAACAGAAGTTATTAGTCTAATACAACTAAAATCTTAATCGTACCAACAAGTTGCAATTCACTCATTGGAAAAAATGGTATAGTTCAATTATACTTCAAACCATATGTTGCCACTGTTATATTGTCGAAGGTAATTGTTAATCGAAATAAGGTTAACCTTTGCTTCACACAGCTGGTCTCTTATCATTGCATGAAATTGATTAGAATGTTTTTTTCTGTTTCAAGTAAATTGAACACACCACAATTTTCTTCTTTTCATTCTTTTGTTTCTTCAATCAATCTGAGAATAAATAGAGCGTCGTACACATATGGATCTTTTTCTTCCCATTTTTTTTTTGTCGATGATGATCACCATTATGGTTAAAACAAGCTGTTGCTTTCCTAGCATACACATTTTTTTTCTTTTATCATCTCTTACACATATCGAACAGTAGAATACATAAGAAAAATTTTTTTTAATGAGTTTTTTGTTTGATTAGTCGAATAGTTATTAATGTACTGAAAAGTTAAGTCAAATATATATTACTTTTATTTTCAGAATATAATGACTGTGTATAAAGTGTCTTTATTTGGTTTAAAACCATGTGATATAAGCAGTTATAACAATAATAAAATACTTGAAACATCACTTCAACGACAAGATTCATTAATTTCAACAACACCACCTAAATTACAACTAGAAAATACGAAAGAAACTTCATCACCACTAGATACTGATTATCTCAATTTAGTTATTAAACCTTTGGTAACAACAAATAATTCAGTAAGAAGAGACAGAATTATGGATAAGTGCTTTTTTTTCTAATTCCTTGATTTTAGTATTCTTCGACAAATAACAATACTGGTCATGAATCAAGTCCAATTCGTTTGAAGATTCGTGAAACACCACGAGGACGTCACTACATTTGTATCTCACAAACATTATTACGTACACATACTGGTGATACGTAATATTTTTTTTTATTCTTATTTGTAATGGAAAAGAAACAATAATATGTTCTATTCTATATGATATTTTGTAATGTTATGCATCTTTTTTTTTTTTTATTACAACTCTTTTTCATAGTCGTTGAGATTAGTGTGTCTTTTTATAGATATACGTATTGTGAATTATTTTATATTGATTATTTTTTGTAGTTTAATCAAGTATTTTTCATGTATTCTGTAATATCGAGACAAATATTTTCATATTTATCATTGTTGTTGATTTGCTAAGTATTCCAAGAGAGAAGAATAAGTGCTATTTTATTGCGCACTATTTCATATTTATTTTAGCAAATCACGATGTAAAATCATATTGCTTCGGTTCAGTTGGTTTATATGCATATTCTAATTCCAATTTTCCTTGTTACACATTATAGTTCTTGCATATATACTGTGGAATCTAACTAACTGGTCAATTTCCGTTTAGATCGTTTCTTCGTTTTGTTTAATATTTTTTTTCGTCTAATATATTAAGTCGATCTGATTATAAAATTAGATAGAAATTGATGAACTATAGTTGTCATCAGATGAAAATTTGCCTAAAGGAAAAATATATTCAAGGAAAGAAGCTAATGTTACAGACTGAGAGACTCCTGTAGTCTTCTATATTTGTTCCTTTCTTGTTAGTCAACATGCTGTTTATTTCGACATTGAAAAAAAAAGTGTCTCATATAACAATGTTTTACCCTGTATATTCTCTTGAATTACCAAAAAAAATCACGAGTGAGAGAAAAGAAGAAACACTAGGCGTAAAATTAGTATTTATATTAAGAAGAAAAAAATCTGAACATATACTTTAACTATGTAGTTTTTATTAAGATAGAATAAGTTTTATATTATTTGCTTCAATATCTTTATATTTTTTGTTTTGGACCATGATAAAAAATAAATCAACATTTATCAATGAAATAAGAGAATACAAAAAAACTAAACGATGACAAGTAAATAATATAGAAATATTTTAAGAGTTTTTTTCTTTTTCCTATTTCTAATCACAACTGACAAACATAGAAATATGATTCATTTCCATAAATTGATTGTGTTTGCAAAATGCTTGAACTTATTTGCATGTCCTTGTTGGGAACTCAACATTCATGTTTATGTAAATTGAAGAGAAAGAGAAAGAGAAAGAGAGAATGAGCTCTTTTTCGTCTCTTCGCTCAATGATGATATGGATAATTGAGTGAAACAATATATAATTGAATTTTTCTGTCAATCGTATAATCTTATTCTGAGAAAATGAAGACGAAAAAAAAACTAGACGATCAGCACAGGAATGGGTAGTTCTTGCATATAACCAAGCATTCATTTACATCTAGTACATCCTATTGATTATTCTAGCAATGATCTTCTGATAAAAAGAAAATGCCTTTAGCAGCTATAACACCTGTATTAAATGATTTACTTAATAAAGATAAAGAAGGGGGCACTTCATCTTATCCACACCGTTCATCTCAACCACAATTACCTAATTCTAATGATGCACAAAATGTTGGTGATTACCTGCGTAAACCATCTACTATTTCTAATCAATTTTCATCAACAACTATTGATGACGTGAGTATTTTTATTAATCACATTTATTCTCCAAATAAGAACGAATGATGAAATCATTTATTCATAAATAAATCAATATATATTAAAATCAATAATCAAACCAAAAGACATAAAAAAGATAGAAAAGAGAGATCTATTGTTTCTTCTTTTTCTTTCTTTTCTTCTGTTTTTTTTTCAATGTCCTATTCATCATGTTGACACTACATCCGTTGCTCTTCATATGATTGAATATGATAAGAGAATTCTGAAGCAAATTATCAACGTTTGTTTGCTATTTTTTTTAATACAAGAAATATGTAATAAGAAGAAACATCATTAATGAGACATGTTCAAATAAAGAATTATAATATCGAGTCAATAAGAACGACGAGAAGATTTCCTCGAATGCAACGTTATCAAAGACATGGTGATGATTCTTTAAAAAAAAAAAAACTTGTTTTAGACTATATATTAATTTTTCTATTTCATATATATTTTTCTATTCTTCTAGAGTTCTCGTCATCATTCAATGACTGCATTCAGATTGGGCAAATCAATAACACGTGAAGATTCATTTTTACGAAGATTTTCTAATCGTTATGGATATCGAGGATTAGGGAAAATGGGTAAATTTATCTTTTATAAGATATTTAGAAAAATTAATTTTTTAAATATTTTTTGTTTTATAAGATCTAGCAAAACGAAATCTTCGATTAAATATTGAAAAAGAAGAACCAATTAAATCACATTATGAATTTATTAGACGAATACTTCGTACATGTAATTATTTTGTTATATCAACAGATGAACCATTTTTATTTTATTGGTTACTTTTATTAAATATATTTGTATTATATAATCTTTGGTTTTCTATTGCACGTCAAGCATTTGATCAATTACAACAAGATTATTCAAAAATATGGGAAATTATGGATTATTTAGCTGATGCTATTTATTTTCTTGATATTTTTATTCAACTTCGAACCGGTTATCTTGAACAAGGTATAGTACAAAATGAATTGAGACAATTCATTACTTCAAATTTACATCTATTTCAAGAAAAAAAAATCATCAACATGACTAAAACTACAAGTTAATTGATATTCAGACTAAAACATTTTATATCTGTTAGATTTCTAATCTCATTTCTGTGTATGATGCCGAAGGGTAGAAAGTTGTCGAATCGTCATTTATCTTGATTTCGAGGTAAAAAATTCATTAAAAAACCTCATAGTTTTATGTATCACTGTCACATCAGTACGCCAAAATGGAAGTGTCAATTTAGATAAAAGTTTATTCAAGACTAGGTTTCAGATTATACATTCGGGATAGAAATGTAGAGGACTTAACGGTTGTGGTAGTATAAATGACTCTCTCAGTATTTTTTTGATATTTCAACCTGCTCTTACCATTTCAAAAAAAAAAAAACCTTTAAAAAAGAAAAGATTCAGTTTTTAATTGACTCCAATTGATTTCCATTTGTTACTGATGAAATTTTATTGAAATTGAATAATCTAACTGATTTATCCATTGATTATTTACAGACCAATAATTCTAATCGATATAAGAGGCACAAAATTGTCATGACATCATCATTGAGTTAAATAATGGTATATGAGTTTGTGTTATCGTATTTGAACATTCTATGATTGTTAAGCTTCTTATTCTTATCGTTTGTGAGAGCGAATATAGTATTTTGATTTAATAAATATTATACAATTATAGATCTTACAAATAATTGAGAGTTTTAGAAATCAAACGAACAACTTCACACAGACATAGGAGTGATGTATAGATGAATGACAGTTTTGTGTCTGAGTACTCTATTATTTTACATGTCAGAAAACTAGAAAGAATTTTTTTCATTGATAAAAATATACAGTTTTGTAGGGAATTAAAAATGAATATTTTGTTAATAAGAGAGTTTTTGTCGAAATGATAGGAGCAGATTGAAATGCAAAAAAAAAATGCTGAGTAGGGAAGTTTTTTGATACTTGTTTCAACTTATTTTTATTTCTTATGTCGATTGTAAGTCGGCAAAAAAAATACTTTAAAAGTAGTTTCTCCTCTTGTGAACTACTTCTGGTTCTCTACCAGTATATAACCGATTCGGCTAAAAATTTTTACCACAGCTATATAATGCTTATGACTTCGGTCTTACTCTGTTTGATTGAGTTAAAAGTTTTTCTAGAGTTACATGGAACAATGTCTCAAAGATATTTTTAAGCCTTTTTGCAAAATATCAATTTGCTTGATTCTTAATTAGAAAAATATGGTAAGCACTAGCTAGAAAAAAAACCAGCTTTTAAGTTAGTGCTTTCCGTATTTTTCTAATTAATAATTGAGAAATTGATATTTTTCAAAAAGTATAAAACATCTCTGATGAGAAAAGGTTTCCAAATGATTACCAGAGATTTCAGCTGAAGCTGCGTGGGTTTGCTACACTAAGTATCCTGATGTCAAGTATGAAACAATTATCAGCGACTGAGACCGATCCAATAAAACGTTATAGTCAAAATATTTTTTTACTATTTGATGCATATGTACGACGACATACTTTTTTTAAGAATATCGTATTGGTTTCTAGAAATATTGTCTGATGGCAGCAGACGTATCAAATACATATATGGAGTGAAATTCTTTCCTACCAGCATTATAGTATGACATTACTCTATATGTTTATTCCGTCTATTCTTTTTCAGTTCTGTTGACATACATTCATTCGTGCACCTCTTTACTCTATTCTAGTATGGTATGCTTGATTTTCAACAGACTATTTATTGAAAGATCTTGGTACTTTTGAGAATGTGCAGGATGTGTATTTTTCTTTCAATGAAGATATCTGTTCTTTGTCCATGTGTAGTAACTATTCTTTTATTTCTTATAGTTATTGTGATCTTGTACTTTGTTTCAATCATTTTTTGTCATTGACGATCATAAGTATTGAAACTAATGCTTTTGTTTACAGCATCAAAAGGATCTATCTTTTATATACATATAGAATGATGTCATATTATAATGCTGGTAGGAAAGAATTTCACTCCATATATGTATTTGATACGTCTGTTGCCATCAGACAATATTTCTAGAAATAAATATGATACTCTAGAAAAAGTATGGAGTTGTACATATGCATCAAATAGTGAAAAAATGTTTTGACTACAACTTTTTATTGGATCGACCTCAGTCGCCGATGATTGTTTCACACTTGACATCAGGGCACTTGGTATAGCAAACTCATGCAGTTTCAGCTGAAATTTCGGGTAATCATCACTTGAGCACCTTCTCTCGTCAGAGAACCTAAAGTAGTCCAAAAGAGAAGGGTACCCTTAAATTTTCCCATAATCACAAAAATTAATAGGCTCCATCCAAAACTATGTTTTGCATATCTACAAAGTTTAAAATTTTCTTTTTTTAATCTCATGCACTCTATAATATTCTAGGTTTACTTGTTTATAATCATTATAAACTTGCAATGAATTATATTCGTTCATCTCGTTTTATATTCGATATAATATCTTTAACACCCTTAGATATACTTCAAATAAAATTTGGTTCAATACCAATTCTTCGTTTTCCACGTTTTTTAAAAGTTTATCGAACATTTCAATTATATTATTTACAAGAATCACGAACTATTTATCCAAATACATATCGTGTTCTAAATCTTTTTCATATACTTCTTCTATTGGGACATTGGTTAGCATCATTTTATTTTATGGTATCAAAAGCTGAAGGTTTTGTTGGTTATTGGTCATATCCAAAACCTATTGGAAATTTTTCACAATTAGCAAAAATGTATCTTCGTTGTTTATATTGGTCAACATTGACATTAACAACAATTGGAGATTTACCACCACCGGAAACAAATTGGCAGTGAGTCAATTTTCTATTTTAAATCTTCTTATTTGATAGGAAATGAAGGATTACAAATTTGTTCTTCTTTTTCTTTTTTTTGTTTTGTTTTTCTTCTTCGGTTTCTTTCTTTCTTTTTCTTTTCTTAAAAATTAGATGGCTCAAAAATTTTTCGAACAAACGGTAAATATAAATGCTTATTGTATTCTAATCGTTGTTCGGTATTATATATGTTTTGAAATAAAATTTTTATTTTGATTATTTTAGCTACGCTTTTTTAATAAGCGTTCATTTGTTCGCCGTTTTCGTCATAGCTATTATTGTGGGTAAGCAAGAAATAAGTTTACAAAAAAAAAAAAAACTTAGAATTCTCTTGAGAAATCTTTTCAATCATAATAAATATGAGTTGGCCTTTTAAAGCAGAAAATATTCAGATACATGCCATGTTGTTCATTTATTTTTGAGGGCTGTTTTTGCTATCATCAGTTATATGGTTGGAATATTTGTTTTTTCATCAATTATAGGTAAATCTTTTTATTTTGCGTATAAAAATAATTCTAATATTTATTTCGATTCTTATTAGGACAAGTTGGTAATGTTATTACAAATCGAAATGCTAGTCGTTTAGAATTTGAACGTTTATTGGTTAGAATTCAATAATTTGAAAGGAATTTTTAAAATCAAATTTTTATAGGATAGTGCAAAACAATATATGCGTTCACATAGTGTACCAGCTGAAATGCAACGACGTGTTCAACGTTGGTATGATTATTCTTGGTCACGTGGTCGAATGTCTGGTGCTGGTGATGTTCATTCAATAAAACTTTTACCAGATAAACTTAAAACAGAATTAGCTCTTCATGTCAATTTAGGAACTTTAAAAAAGGTATTTTTCTTAGTTCAGCATCATAATGAACTATTGAATCTTGAATTAAACTATTCCAAAAAAACATTTTGCTCAAAAACAAAGTTTATTTCATGTGAATTCAGACTCTAAACCATTTTTTCTTTTTGAAAAAATGTTCTCTTACTTGAAAAAGCATGAATTTGAGTAGCAATCAGTATCTAAAGAAAGTTTAAAAAGTAGTTCAAGCTGATACTCAGTCAACAATAAGTTTTAAATGTAGAAATATTCACTCTATATGTGAATTCAATCGATTAAATTTTCTATAGGACTTTAAAACTGTAAATAATTGATTTTTCAATAGAACGCTTTGGAAAAACGACACCTTTCATTTATATCTCTGTTTGATTGCTTATATGGATTATTCATATGAAATAGTATAAAGTATGAAAGACTGAAGTAAATAAATATCATCAAATGTTTACTATCAATAGGTATTTATAGTAGAGTTCTTGATCTCGTATGTAAGAATCTAATATCTGTGAATAAAAATATATTACACTCAAAGAAAACTCAGAATATTCCTTGTTATTCTTAATGATTTTTAAGCGTTTTCTCTATCAAAAGATCACTTCTGTCTTAGTGACTTTATTAAATTTGGTATATCTAGTTTATAGTTCATTTGGCATGAATAACTAGTTAAAGTTTTCGTGATATGTTAGTAAGAGAGTACTTTGTCAGATGCATTGCTGAAAATTGTACTTTTGTATTCCCTACTTCTATTACAATACTAACGAAGAATAGTTATCAATATGTGTGACTAATACTACACAAAACATACCACCCTTGCAAAAAAGTTTTGAGACACTCGACAATAGTTTCTCTATACTTTATGTTTAAGTTGGTTCTGAATGTAAGTACATGTTTAGTATTATTATTGGGCAAACTTTCATTTGTTATTCAGAGAATGAACCATTGCCGTTTGATACCAGCTAAATAGTATCAAAAATAAAATATTCAGCGGCAAAATGTCCTGGAATTTTTTTTGTTCTATTTATCCTTTAACTTTTCTTCGATTACAAATGGTATCTATGGAAAAGCTGGAAGAACTGGCTATTATAGGTATGTTTTTATTTCAGTGATTAGAGGAAGCTGTCAAAAAGTTACTATGAACGAGGCGAAATCATCTCCTCTTTTTTCTTATCTAGGAGAGCAGAATAAGTTTGACAAAACAACATATTTTTCCACTCTCTAGCATAACAAATAAATGTACTGGACGATAACGAAAAAAGGAAAGTCTATCTTATTGCCTTTTTTTCACATAAAAAAATAGCTGGCATATTTCAAAATTTTAGATTTCTATTTTGATCTAGCTTATAGTACATTGTTTGATGTATTAGAAAATCTGAAAATATGTTGTTTTATCGGATTTAATCTGCTCTTCAAGATGAGTTTTTTTTAACAGTTTCCTATTATCACCAAAATAAAAACATACCTATAATAGTCAGTTTTTTAAGTTTTTTTCATTGATTCTATTTGCAATGTAAGAAAAGTTAATGGATAAATAGAACGAAAAAAAAATCCCAGAACATTTTGCTGCTGGCTACTTTATGTTTGATAGTATTTAGCTGGTATCAAATGGCAATGATTCATTTGTTCAATAAAATATAAACACTAGTCCGATAATAATGCCAAACACACATAGGCGGCGGAGTTGTAAGGCTTGGATCGACCGAAACCCAGCCTACATTCATGTTTCGTAGGCTAGGGTAGACTAAAATACTTTTCTCTTTCCGTCAGATTGATCAATTTGAGTAGTCCAATTACATTTTTTGTATACACATAAATATTTTTACGCTGCTTCTGGCGACTGATAATAACATTTTCTTAATCAAGCAAACTTAGAAAACGTTTTTAAGGAAATATTGACTGTCGCACAAGTAAATATTGGATCATACATCGGTAATGACTTGAAGTAGAAACCTTTCATTAAAACTAAATAAGAACTGTACGAAAAATTCGATTCAGATTAACTTGAATCTATTAAAATTTTCCTTCACTTTCGGCGACTAAGATTACATACTTATTAAACATTTTCAACAGTGAAGAGAAGATCACAAAGCAAAATCTTTTTTTTTTGTGTCGCCATTAATCTTTATTTCGGTAAAGCAGATCACAATCTCAACTTTCGGAGATTTCATTTTGATAAACATAATCGTTCTCATGTTTTGTTTTTATGCAAATTACAAAATCTAAGTTCGATAAAAAAGACACACTAACTGTATTTCATCTAGTTAGTACTCAAAAACTCGTCTTCTCTCATCTATCCTAACATTAAAAACTAATTTAAACAAAAAGTATTGAGACAACTGTTTGTCGAGTGTCACCAACCTTTAAATAATATTTTTTCTTTTTATTCTCAAAAGGTGACTATATTTCAAGAATGTCAACCGGAATTTTTACATGATCTTGTTTTAAAAATGCGTGCATATATATTTACACCAGGTGATATAATATGTCGTAAAGGTGAAGTAGCACGTGAAATGTTCATTATAGCTGATGGTGTTCTTGAAGTAGTCAAGTAAGTCTAATAAAAAACAAAAAAAAGAAAGAAAATTAATAAATCTTTTCTAATCGAAATTATTTCAAGTGAGAAAAATGATGTTCTAACACGTTTGGGTGCAGGTGATTTTTTTGGTGAAATTGGAATTTTAAATATTGATGGTGCTAATCGACGCACAGCTGATGTACGAAGTGTTGGTTATTCAGAATTATTTTCTTTATCAAAAGAAGATGTTTTGGAAGGTTGTCGAGATTATCCTGAAGCTGAACGTACATTATATGAATATGCTCAAAATCGTCTTGGTTTTGAAAAAGCTAAAAATGAAGCATCACAAAAAATGAAAGGTGCACTAGGTACTTTAACATCAATTGCATCATGTTTAACACATAATCCAATGGCAACAACGCCAGCATCACTAAATATGTCACCGATACAAGAAAACAATGAAAAAGATTTAAGTAATAATAGTCCAGAAAATGAAGATCCAACTGAACAAACATCATCAGTAGATCATACGAAGTAAAACAAAAATAATAAATTAACTTAAAATTAAAAATCGTTCTAATTTAGATCGATATCAAAAACTTCCATTTCTAATTTACAAAATTTTAACTGTGATAATCAAGATAAACTTCTATTTCATCAAAATTTATCATCAAAAAATTTTTCTTTAGTTCAATCATTATATACATATTCAAATGAATTGATGAATGATATTGAATCATTGATTAGAGATAAAATGGTTTGAAGATATTAATGATTTTGTTTTTTCTTTCTAATACTTCTGTTTTGTTTTTGTCTTTAGCTTTCAATTGAACAATCTTATCGACAACAAATTGCAGAATTACAAGAACAAAATGAACGTAAAGATATACGAATGAGATTATTAGAACAAAAATTACAAAAATTACAGGTTTATATTTTCTTAATAAATATCGAAAAAAAAAAACGTTTTATTTTATATTTAGAGAGCATTATTCAATCGAAATCGACTATGGCTTGAAGAAGAATGAAGAATTTCCTCAATATATATATATATATATATATATATAAATTATCGCAACTCGGGGATACTTTTTTTCTTATTGTTACATTTGTTCAAAATATCTTTTATAAATTCATTCAATAAAAATCAACATATGGCAACAAAACATCTTTAACTCGTCTATCCAAAATTAAATGTGTCTTCAGATAAATTACTATTTTTTATTTATAACATTGACTAGTTAGTCTGACATACAATTTTTTTTTGTATGTATTTTTAATTTCTACAATAATAATATTCTCATTATGTGAAAAAGAACAAGAATTCTACTACAACAATAGAATTGTATTATTTCAATAAAGAGTTCTGGTTACATTACTATCAGTCTTTAATTCACTAAAACACTTCTTTGTAGGAAGATAATATGAAATTTCCAAATATCTATCACAACATAATTTGAAGAATCTCGAATGAATGTAACTGCAGTAACCGAAGATTCAATAGTTCATCTAATTCATTTAAAACGTTTTTATTCAATAAGATGATTTTTTTTCTGAATATTAATATTTTTCTTTTTTGTCTATTCTCAATAAATAAATACTGCATAGAATTAATAAATATTTCGTATTGTCATGTCATTTCGGCATGCATGATTTCTATGCCTGCTTACACTAGCAATATTCTAATTCCATCCAATTATTATTATAATTTAAGTATGTAAAAAAATAAACAGATCGGCATGCTTGTAACTCTACTATAAATGATCTCTTCTGACAAATAATTTATTTTATAGTGTCATACAATAACATAATTTCTCACAAAATTTTTTCTTCTGATTATAATTGACTTTTATTTCTGCAAAAAAAAAATCTTTGAATGCTACTCTTAACATTTACGATCTATTATAAACAGAAAAGATCTGAATTAACTATTAATCTTTATAGAAAGTCCAATAAATCATTGGAATCGAATTCGATCATTTTAGTAAAAACTCTCTACCGTTAATATCTATGAGAATATTTAAAACTGTTCATGATAATATGTAAAAATAAGAGTAGAACAAAAGAAAAACGTTTATAGTTGACTATAAGAAAATATTCAATAAGAAACGATCGACGAGTATTTAGGGTTTTTACTATAATAAGATGTTCGCATTATGAAAACATTTACAATGGAAGATTTCCCTGTAGATTAAACATCTATGAATTGAGAAGTGATTATATATAGAAAAATAAAACAATAAAAAGACAATAATATTGCAAAAAAAAGTTTGGTTTTTGTTCAAGAACATTCTGAATGAATTTAATAGATAATAATATCGTTTACAGTATTACAACTCACGAGAGAAGAGAAGCAACATTCAGTAACTGCTAAACTTACAACAGAAAAAGATTATTCAACACCAGCTGAATTAACTGAAATTAAAAAAAAGACGACGAACAAGTAATTATAAACATGGACATTTATATCAATAACTTTTTTAGGATAGTAACGAACATCAAATGGAATTCATCATATTTAAATCTCATCGTTAAAAATGAATTCAACTGCATCTATTTGCTAACAATATATTCGATGTGTGAGACAAAACTTTGATTTAAAAGAAAAAAAAAATACACTCATCGAACAGCCTGTAGTTTTCAAGTGATCTGCCGCATTTACTGTATGTACGAATTGGACTATGTTACCTGCTTAAAATTCTGATATTCAGATTTCTAAATTCTAGATAATTCTACAAGAGATTACTACTGTTAGAGTTGTTATATTTTGATTTTCAAATAGCATACATAATTTTTCTTTTGAAATAAAAGTGTTAATTGAAAAAATTACTAAAACAAAACTTCCTTCATAAAAAAACAACATCATATTCCATTTTTGTTTCTCTATTAGAAATCAACTTTTAAAGTTCATTAATTTACAACAACAAAAAAATCATTTTCACAGTTAGTTTATAATTTTCAAAAGAACTTATTCTAGAAAAAAATATAAATATTGACATTTATACATGCTGAATATCGAATCAACCGGAATAAGAGTTTTTTTTGTCGTGTACTTACAACAGGAAATGAGTAAGAAATCACAAATATATGCACTATGTCTTAAAGTATGTCAAACTAATTTACATTGTTCTATTTGCAAAATCAAATTTTTCTATTCCTAATGGAGATATTTATTTGATTAATAGACATATTGAACAAGCTGATCATAAACGTTTAATTAAAACTGAAGCCATTGCACGAATTTATTTGTTTTTGTCATTAAGCACGATTTTAGTCTATCATCAGCTGTATTGACTAGATTAACTGGAATGTGATAGCAAAAACAGTGAGAAAAATAAACAGATCCATTGGACTTTATCTTAATTTTGGTGGTGAAAGTTGGCATAGAAAATCGAATAAGATCTCAAGCAGATTAGACAAATTGAAAGTCTATTAAGAAATGTGCTTGGTATCGTCACACGGCGAAAACACAAATCACATTTGTTAATTCGCTTCTAATTCGTCTAGTTTGTTTAGGGTCTAACTCAAACTAAATTAAATGGATGCCAATATTCATTAATCAACTCTTTACGAATACATATCAAAATGAAAGCACAGACTCGAAAACCTATATGTCACTCTTTACTACTATCATGTTTAAATCATTGTTAAACAAAATTTTCTGTCGTAAACGAGCGACCTCTATCCAACATTGAATTTATAAATCTGGAAATTGTTATTATCTTAATCTAACTTAGATTTATGAATAAAAATAAAATTTGTTTAAGCATACTTTTTATTTTACTAAAAATATTCTGTTTTTAACCAATTATATAAAACATCTTTGTTTGCCTTCTTTCCTCTGTTTGCTAAACGAATGTAAAAACATGTTTTGAGCTTTGTCTTCACTTTTCTTCCTTTCTTCCTTTCTTTCTGTGATTATTTTCTATTTAAGCAATATAGTCTGAAAAAATTGAATGGGAAGACGCAGGATAGAGAAGAAAGAAAAAGAAAAGAAAAGAAAAGACAGAAGTCAGTCAGAAAGAAAGAAAATTATGTGGAGGCGTTGACGTTATTCTCGCATCATCATTTGACGTTATTCCTCTAGTCCCAATCAGAAACTTAAAATGCTTCTTTTCCGTTTTATTATAAAGACGCATTTGACTTCTATTTTTTTTTCTTGTTTTTTAGAATTAGTCATGATCGATTGTTAATTAATAAAAATAGAAATTTTCAAAAAACAAAATGTTTAGTACATTTGCTGATGTTTTTGGTTCAGATGATAATAAAAAATTAAATGGTACAAAAAATCCATTTGATTCATCATTATCACCAACAACAGTCGATCCATTTGGTATATCAAGTGATATGAAATTATCAGCATCGTCACAAAAATTTGATGATAGTCCATTTATAATTGACACAACGAATGAACAAAATAATCGATTATCTAGTGGAAAAGATGCATTATCATCATCGAATTGGAATGCATATCAAAATTCAAACAACGAACCAAATTTAGATCAATCAACAACATTTGATCCATTAGAAGATATACAAGATAAAACAACAAATTTATCTATTAATAATAATATACCACATTCAAAAAGTGTTAATCTTATTAATCCATTTCAAATTCCAGCTATTTCAAATGAAGCATCAACAGTATCTATTCAAGCATCACCAATTGATCTTTTATTTGATATGAATATTGATCCAAGTTCATTTCCACCAATAAATGCCGATAATTCTTTAACACATTCTGATCAAGTACAATCATCATATGATCTTCTTGGTCTTAGTAAAAAAAAAGAACCATCATCAACATCAGTTAAAATTTTAAAAAGTGATAGTTTAACTGATATACCAAAGATAAGTCAAACAAAAAATTCATCACCATCATCATTAATGACTAAACCAAATCTATCAACAGCATCATCATATCATACATTACCAAGTAATATTCCACCAACATCACCAAGTACATTACGTGTTCAAGCAACAGCATTAAGTATAATGACAGGTACAACATCAACATCACCATATGATGATCAATTTCTTGATTGGTTGACAGAATCTGATGATTTAATGTGTAGTATGGATCCGAAATTAAGTGGACTATCAAAAAAAATTGATATTAATATGTTAAAAAGTACAGAAGATCTTCTAGGAAGTATTTATAAACAACCAATACCAACATTAACAACTGTACAAGAAGCATCACAAGAATCATTTGGATCACCACCTATTACTAGTCCGAATCAATTGATACGTCGTCCATCAACTGAAGAAGTTCCATCCATATGTATTCATGAACCAACAACTGCACATAATGATAGTAATATTGTACCACAAGGATATTTTGATAATCTTAATAATAAAAAAGAAAAAGAAAATGAAAATGAAAATGATTCTGATGATTCTGATAATTCAAAAATGGTTTTTAAAATTGGAGAAAAAAAAGATAATATATCTATTTATGATAAAAATATTCCTGTACCATTATTACCACCACCACCATCACCATCAACATCGAAAAAATATAAAGACGCTAGTGATGATGCTGGTTCATCATCATCACCAACAGATAATGAAGATGAACATGATCCATTAGCTATGTTTCGTTCAAAATCTCTAAAAAAGAAAAAAAATGAACAACATGGTAAAAATCTTATTACCGATTGGGGAGAAGGAGAAGAACAAGAAGAAGTTATACAAAATAATAAAGAAGACAATACAAAGATTAATCAAGGAGAACATAGGGTATGCTTGATGTTTGTATATGTATTGTTGTCTTGTCTGTATTACAATTGTATACAAGGTTGGTGTTGTTTGATATTAAGTTCTTTTTTTTTTTTTTGAAATATTTGTTTTATTTTAGCTCGAAAAAGTTCAATCAATACCAATAGATTATTATTTACACGAACCAGATTTTGATGATAGTGCACCATTAGAAGCATATCATAACGATATTAATGAATTACAATTACAACAACTTAATGGATGGTTATTACAAATTCGTGTACCATTAAGGCAAAAAGATTTATAT